GAGGAGCAGGCGCAGCCTTTGGAGATGGACATCACGCTAGAAGAGGTCCTTAGGGCGATTGGAGAGCTACCAAGACTCAAGGCGCCGGGGGTGGAGGAGTCCCTATTGAAATGTATAAGGCACAGAATCATTTGTTTGGTCCACTCCTCACGCGGGCCTTCAATGAGGCCTTGCACGCGGGACATCTCCCGGAAGGCTTTGCAGATGCCTTTGTGGTGCTGATCTATAAGAAGGGTGCCCGCGAGGATGTCAGGAATTGGCGCCCGATATCAATCCTCAATGCTCCCTACAAGATCCTCGCCAAGGTACTGTCGAACCGGCTCAATGAGGTGCTGCCTTGTATTATCAACCCCGCTCAAGCGGGGTTTGTTTCGGGGAGGCAGATTGTTTCGAACATTATGCTGGCTAGACAGATCCTTAGGCACCAGGAGGTCCTTGACCAGCCACTGGGGTTTGTTACAATCGACCTTGAAAAAGCCTATGACCGGGTGAGATGGGAATTCCTCTTTCAAAGTTTGCATCGGCGGGGCATTGGGGAAACATTCTGTAACTAGACTCGACTGCTCTTGGCTGCAACACGCACGTGTATGCAAGTGAATGGGGTGCGCTCCGTTTTTTTGCAACTTACCAGATCAGTACGGCAGGGATGCCCGCTTTCACCTGCTCTGTATGTCGTCTACATAGAGGCCCTACACGACCTCCTCCAAGGGGATGAAGCTTTGCAGGGACTGCAGTTGAGACAAGATATGGTCCTCAAGTCCACTGCCTTTGCAGATGACACCGGTGCAGTCATCCCTCCTACCACACCACAATTAACGCGCCTCCAAATGGATTTGGAATTGTTTTCACTATACTTAGGAGCCAGGGTGAATTGGCGGAAGTCGCAGGCCATCCTCCCACAGGGCTATATTGCCCCAGAAGGCTGGGATGTGCCCACCTCGGCGGATGGTGAAAACCTGTGTTTTTTGGGGGTCCTGATTCATCCGGTGGGAGGGGGTGCTCAGCAGATGGAAGGATTGGCGGCGACAGCAATTCTGAGGCTGGGGCGATGGGCGAAGAGGATGCATCTGGGAGGTTTTGGCAAGGCCCTCGTCCTTAAAAATTCGGTGCTGTCCACGATGTGGTATGCTGGGGCCATCCACATGCCGAAGAGGCGGGTTTTCAGGCAGTTGCGGGCAGCGGTGCATAGATACCTGTGGGCGGGAGATGTGGAAGCGGAGTCGGTAATCCCCAGGGTGGCTTGGTCGAAGCTCACCCAGCCCAGGAGTCAAGGGGGGCTGGGGATCTTGGACCCAGAACTGCAGATGACGGTGCTTCAGCTGCGAAACCTGCTGTGGTTTTTGTTGGGGACGGCGGGCACAGCGTGGGAGAGCCTTACCACTCAGCATTTGGCCCTGGCGCTTGGCATGACAGAGCAAATGGTCTTAGTGGCGTTGGCCAGCCCAGGCCTCATTAGCCACGTCAAGAGGAACCAGACTTGGTCCGCTGCGCTGACATTGTGGAAAAAGTTCCAATTACAGTAGGAGTTACCGGTCACCGCTGACGATGTCTATAATCAACTCCTCTTTGACAACCCCTGCATATGTGACGATACCGGTGATCCGTTCCCAAGGTAGGGGAAGCCTGGAGCTTTTGGGAAGCATTGGGCGGAATGTGGGGTTTTTAAGATTGGGCACCTGTGGGACGAGGAAGAGAGGGACTGGAGGAAAGAGGCTGACATGGCAGTGCGGCTCCCCCACAAGTTCCGGAGGCGGCAAAACTTATCTGCCATTCAGCGGGCTATTCCCACGCGATGGGTGGATACACTGAGGGAGGACCATAGAGTGGGGGGAGAATGGGTGAGACGCAAGGGAGAGACACACCCCCTGCAGGTATACCTGATCACACAGGTACAGGGTGAGGAGGTGGTGACGCGAGCATGGAACGTGGTGACTAGGTATGAGGGTCTGGGAGCCCCAATGAGAGTAAGACCTGGTGTGGAGACGCGGTGGAGAACTGATGAAATTGAAACGGTGGCGGTATGCGCAGAGAAGAATAAAGAGGGGGGGCTGGGAAGTGCCCGACCCTTTCGGATTTGCAGTACAAGGCGAGAGCTGGCGATTGACCCGCAAGAATGGAGCTGGCCTAAGCAGAATTATAATAAACAAAAATTCTAGCTCCCTCAAGTGACTACCAGGATCATGTACCGCTCCCTCCTCCCCCCATTGGATCTGCGTGAAGAACTGGTGGACCGATGGGCCAAACGAGAGTGGCTTCCCGTGATCTACCTGTACCGGTGGCGACAGAGGGAATGGAGAGAGCAGTGTGCAGTGCTGCAATCTTTGTCGAATCAGAAGCAGGCAGGTCTGTTGTGGCTCATCTACCACCTGGCGGTCCCCACAGCGCAATGGCTGGCCAATAAAAGCAATTATCGGGACGAGCGTTGTACTGCGGGATACGGCCAGGTGGAAACCATCCCTCATCTCTTCGTCGCCTGTCTGGTTCTCCAACAGTTTTGGATGTGGTGGGCCGCAGAAGTAGGAAAGTACTCTCCTTTCTGTGTCACGGAGGACGATGTGGCACACATTTTATTGGGCGCCCTGATCAAGGTGGACAGGAAGGACAAGGGGGCGCTCTATGCCTCGGAGGTGATATGAGTGGCTGTTCTCTGGGCCATTTGGACCCTTCGAAACGAACGGTGTCGACAGGGCAGGGTGATCACCCTGCAAGCTTTACGCGCACGGGTCCTGGAGAGCCTGCGCACGGCCATGTCCACTGAGGCTCTGCGGAGTAGGAGAGCCAAAGATCACAGTCTGACGAAGTTCTGGGCTGTCTGGGGTAAATATCCAGGCTAGGTACAGCAGGATGGGAATCCGGGGCTATGGAAATATGGCCCGGCCCTGTGCAGTCACGGGTCTGCTTAGGACTAGGGTATAATAGATGGCTTGAGCCTGAGTGTTTTTTTT